GAGTTCTGCCAAATCTTCTATGAGGTCTTTCAAATCTGTCCTTTTATTTCCATTCTCCTGGCACTACAATTAGTACTAGGAGGTTCGGGGTTTTTCTTTTTTTTAAATATTGTTGTATTTAAAAAGTTGTATTTATTTATTTGAAAGGCAAATTGACAGGCACACACACACAGATCTTCTGTACGCTGGTTCACTCCCTGAATGCCGGCAACAGCTGGGGCTGGGCCAGGCCAAAGCCAGGAGACCAGAACGCCACCCAAGTCTCTCATAGGTGTGGCAGGAACTCAAGCACTCGGGTCATCAATTGCTGCCTTCCTGCACGCGTTAGCAGGGAGCTGGATGGGAAGCAAAGTAGCTGGCACTATGGCGACAGCGTTCCCCCTGGGCCACCATGCCTGGCCCTAAAACCACTGCTTTGATTCTCTACTTAGATATTCTTTCAATATATTTTCCTGTACTTATTGTTACACCTTACTTTAACAATTTTACACTAACTTGAGTACCGCTTACCAAATAAATCTGACAAATGAGCAATGGGACTAGATACTTTTTCTAATTTAGTCAACATTTATTAGATTTCTAAATGGTTTTCATCCCTGATCAGATGGCTATTATTGGTTCCAAAATTTTTGCACATAAGAATGTGATACATGGCCGGTGCCGCGGCTCAGTAGGCTAATCCTCCACCTTGCAGCGCCGGCACACCGGGTTCTAGTCCCGGTCGGGGCGCCGGATTCTGTCCTGGTTGCCCCTCTTCCAGGCCAGCTCTCTGCTGTGGCCAGGGAGTGCAGTGGAGGATGACCCAAGTGCTTGGGCCCTGTATCTGCATGGGAGACCAGGATAAGCACCTGGCTCCTGCCTTCAGATAGGCGCGGTGCGCCGGTCGCAGTGCGCCGGTCGCAGTGCGCCAGTTGCGGCAGCCATTAGAGGGTGAACCAACGGCAAAGGAAGACCTTTCTCTCTCTCTCTCTCTCACTGTCCACTCTGTAAAAAAAAAAAAAAAAAGACTGAAAAATATAGGAATCCACAGGTTTAATAATGCTAATATAAATGAGAAAGAGATTTTCCTTACAGTAGAATGGTCCCTAATAAACAAAGAAAGAATCTGAAAAATCACATTTGGCACCTACAAGAGTAACAATTAATTCAGCGAAGAAACATCTCTGGATGCTAAAATTAGTGTGTGAAGGATTGTTGAGAAACAGAATACAGTTTCAAGTATCCCTACACCAGATGCTTATTAATTCAGCAGGAAAATTTTTTTTAAAGTTTATTATTTGAAAGGCAGAGTTATAGAGAGGCAGAGGCAGGGAGAGAGAGGTCTTCCCATCCACAGGTTCACTCCCCAAATAGCTGCATCTGCTGGAGCTGTGCCAATCCGAAGCCAGGAGCCAGAAGCTTCTTCCAGATCTCCCACACTTGGGCCAACTGCTACTGCTTTCCCAGGCCATAGCAGAGAGCTAGATTGGAAGTGGAGCAGCTGGGACTTAAAACCGGCACCCATATGGGATGCTGGCACTGCAGGCAACGGCTTTACCTGCTACGCCACAGTGCTAGTCTCCCCCCTCCCCCCAAAACAAACAAACAAAACCCCCAAAACATTTAAAGTAGAGAAATTGGGGCTGGCATTGTGGCGTAGCTGGTAAAGCCACATATGTGATGCCAGCATCCCATATGGGTGCCAGTTCATGTCCTGGCTGCTTCACTTCCAACCCAGTACCCGGCTAATGACCTGAGAAAAGCATTTGAAGACGGCCCAAGTGTTTGGGCCTTTGCCACCCACATGGGAGATCCACATGAAGCTCCTGGCTCCTGGCTGTGGCCTGGCCCAGCCCCAGCCTTTGCAGCCACCTAAGGAGTGAACTAGAGGATATATCTGTCTCTCCCTCTCTGTAACTTTCATGTAGTTTTTTTTTTTTTTTAAAGGAGACAGAAATATCTAGGAGACATGACCTAAAACAAGTGCTCAAAATTAGCATCCATGTAATGGGACAGCTGACACCACGCACTACAGACACAGCGTCACTTCTGTAGTATTGCTGCTAAGAAGGCGTAAGCTCATCAGTCTCATCATGAAGGCACATCAGGAAAACCCAAATTCAGGGGTCACACAAAATAGCTGGCCCAGGGTTTCAAGACCTTGACATTTTTGAAAGACTATTGAAGAACTGTTCCTTCTTAAAGGACACTAGAGTTGTGAGAATGAATGTGTTATCCTGTACTGGATCCCAGGCTGGATTTATAATTAGTGAAATATGGTGGAGCTTAGACAGTTGTATCATATTAATGTTGGTTTTCTGATTTTGATAATTGTATCACTTATGTAAGAAAACATCCTGGTTCTTTCTTGGGAAATAGATTTAAGCATGTGGGGTAAAAAGGCATCACATCTATAACAAATCTCAAATGATTCAGGAGGAAAGCACTTATTCTACACAGTTGATAAAGGAAACCTCACCCCAACAGGAGAAGGACAACTACTAGACAAAGAGTAGAGGAGTTAGGAAAAAAAAATCACAATTTCGTTAACATTCTAGTAAAATTTATTCAGGCAAGAATCACCACAGGATGCTGAATCTAGGACGGGTAGATTTGATGAGGAATAGAATTATTAACATGTTACCCACCAAAAGGAAAACAACTATACAGTGGCAAATTGGGCATCTTATCCAAGTGGTCAAAATTCACATCACCAGTGAAGGGCCAAGGGCCGTCCAGTATTCCTACCCACACTGCACAGCCATGTCTAACCGAGAGGAGCCGCCAGAACAACTCACAGTGAGGATATTCCACTCTTCCTGCAGTATTCTTCAAATATATCAGTATTACAAAAGCAGAAGTGCTGAAGAGCTGCTCCAGGTTAAACAGTCACCTTAATAATAATAAAAAATGATCCTCAACTGGATCCTGTAGCTGAAAAAAAATTACCAGTGAACAGCACATGAAATTGGGCTGTAAAGTACTGCACCAAACTTAAATTCCTGAGCAGGGTTCCTGTGCTCGGGCCAGATGGTGTGCTTGTTCTTAATGAAGGATACATGTTGTATTAAAGGAGAAAGGGTAGAATGTCTATAACACCCATTCAGATGGGTCAAGAAAAAATGTATTGGAGAAAATGTGCAAATTGGAGAAACATTAAAAAGAAGTCAAAGTACAGAACAATACATATATATGTAATGTGTACATATATACACATATACATGTGTATGTATGTATGTGTATGTAAACTATATATGTGTATACATATATTTCTTCTACTTAGAATTTTCAAAACAAATAGGTGATACTAAATTTGTTAGTATTATTTATTAAATACTAAATTTATTAGTATTATTATGATACCAAAATTATTAGTCTTCTCCATGCTCTCCCAGATAAGGGAACTAAGAGCTAAAAGATATTAAGGGGTTTGGCAAAAGGATGTAAGCGGCTAAATCTCTCTTTCAACCCTTAGCTCCATTCCAGAGAGAAAAAGTATCCAAAGTGTGTTTTCCCTATGAATACACAAACTGCAGCGCACATATGTAATCCTTCTGTTTTGATGACTGTATATTCTTTTTTTTTTTGACAGGCAGAGTGGACAGTGAGAGAGAGAGACAGAGAGAAAGGTCTTCCTTTTGCCGTTGGTTCACCCTCCAATGGCCGCCGCGGCCGGTGCGCTGCAGCCGGCGCACCGCGCTGATCCGATGGCAGGAGCCAGAAGCCAGGTGCTTTTCCTGGTCTCCCATGGGGTGCAGGACCCAAGCACCTGGGCCATCCTCCACTGCACTCCCTGGCCACAGCAGAGAGCTGGCCTGGAAGAGGGGCAACCGGGACTAGAACCCGGTGTGCCAGCGCCGCTAGGCGGAGGATTAGCTTAGTGAGCCGCGGCGCCGGCCTGATGACTGTATATTCTAATGAACAAATATATAAATTTGCTTAGGTATTCATTAGTTAATTCACACCTTATAAATATAATTTAATATAATGTGAGATTTTAGCATAACATATAAAAGCTCACTTTTGCATTTACTTTGATGAAAGTTATGTTTAGCCTTAATTCTGCCATCTTATTTTGTTATAATTTGTTTTTATGCCTTCCTTTGGAAAAGCATTTGTTGATTTTTGTTTTGGGGATTTCCTTCCCATCTAGTAACTACTTCTACCCAAATTTTGACAATCACATTATCTGACAAGGTTTATATTACTTGCATTGTTTTGAGGTATAATACGAACAAAAACTTTCATGGGAGAACCTGAGTCTGACTATTGCGTCCATTCATGAAAGGGGGCTACTTGAGTTGTGACTGTACATGTGAGTTGTGCAAGTCCAGATGCCAGCTGATCCCTGAGAAACAGATTTTTCTCATCAGTCAACTCAATTTTAATGGCTCTGGGGCACTCACTGATGGGGTCCTGTTGAGTTCCTTGTGTAGGTTTTAATCGAAAATCCCAAACAACTCACTATTTGAGAAGCAGGCATTTAGCCAAGTGGTTAAGATGCCTGACTGCATCCTACATTGGAGTGCAGGGGTGGGATTCCCAGCTCTGGTTTCTCACTCTAGCATCCCCCAGTCAGACCGTGGAAGCAACAGTGATGACTTAAATAGCTGGTTCCCACCACCCATGACTAGATGGTGTTCCTAGTTCCTGGGCTTAGGTCCCAACTGCTCTGGCTGTTGTGGGCATTTGAGGAGTGAACCAGAGGATGAGAGCCATCTGTTTCTGTCAAATAATTTTTTTAAAAATGAAAAAGAAATGTAATAAATAACTTTTAAAAGTCACTATTTGAAAAAACTTGTAGATAAAGTTAAAATTTTAAATATTTTCAAAGCAATTTTAAGACAAAACAGTAGCTACACTAGGTATATTATCACCTCATCTATGGTATTCTGAATTTCATAGTGGTAGGTATTTATACATATTGCAGTAGGAAATAGGGAGAGCTATAATAGGCTGTAGGTCTGAGAAGCAGACATGCTTCATCTCTGAAGGCAGCACACACACACACAGTCAAGATGTTTGCTTTGTTCTATTTATTTCTTTGGGGAAGGGGGAAGGGAGATATATAGATATAAAAAAAATAAGTTTGTTTTTGCTTCAAAGAACTTTCCCTAGGAGTGGGAATTCATTTTCATCACATGTCAACATGGACGAACACTGCTCTCCTCTCCTGGCTCTCATGACAACTTGAGTTCAAGGTCTCCAGTGTTTTTCTGAAATCTAGTATGTGCATATTCAGAGGGACATACGGGTGTTCCTTTTCTTGTTCATGTACAGAAGGTGCTGGAACTCTGGCTTTAAGAACAAATTTTTGAAAAAGCCCCACATCCAACTTGTCTGATGTGGTTCAGAACTAAATTACTAAGGAAGCACGCAGAAATAAATGGCCTCAAGCATTTAAATATTCTATGAAACTGCAATTAATTAAATGGCTGCTGACTTCAAGAACTATACAATAAGGGAATGAGGAAAGAGATAAAAGTCTAGATGTCAAGTTCAGAGTGAAGAATTAAGCTCCAGCTCCAGTTTTGCAACATCTATGAATAGAGGGAAGGGATAAGAATTACATGAATAATGTTAAATAAACAGTGCACACAGAACCGGGAGGTCTGTTAACATTAACTTTGCCACTGATTCTAGTTCAAAACAATGTTCCCGAGGGAAATAAGCACTTAGGCTGCTGTTCAGAACTTTTTGAGAGTTAAAGACTGAATATCAATCAACATTCTCAGTGTAAATTACTTCTCTTAAAACATGTTATTTTATAAGTTGAACATCTATGTCATCCCTTGAAAATTCAAATGAGAAAGCAAAATTACAGAGAAAACCAGAATCCTCATCAATATAGCTAGACAGACGTTTGCTTGTAGTTTTTGGTATCCAAAACCTTTTTTCCACACATGGCACAGATGCCTGAAACAAAACATATAAATAAACAAATCATAGTACCAACTTTTTGGTCTATTTAAGTAAATCTTGAAGCTTAAAACACATTTAACAGCATCCGAGAGAAAACACATACTTTTAACTGTAAACATGTTTTAAGTTCTATTTTGCCTGACAAAAGAAGAATATTTGACTAATACAAGGGTACTTTAAAAAGCTTATGGAAAGTATGCATGCATTTCAAGGTTTTTTTTTTGCATCAAAATACACTGTCCATTGTCGGTCTATCCCTTTCCTGTTACCCAAATCAGCAGTAAATGAAATAGTTTTGGTATGAATAGAAAAATGGTGTTAAAAGAAACTTACCCTTTTTGTAGGCACAGCCCTGGCAGTAATGAGAACCTGGTTGGTGCACAGAACTTTTACAAATTCTGCAAGTGGAGAATTTATTCTTTCCATAAGGATCAAACCTAGAGTTTTTTTTTTTAAAAAGAGAGCAAAATGTAAACAACAGAAACACTCATAAATCACCACACTCTGGCAACACTTGGTATTAATCCATGTTTGCCAGGCCGTCTGTCAAACTCTACAACTGAAGGGCATAGCCGCCTTCTGGCCAGCTACTGTGTAATACGCACTTCCTACCCCCGCCGCGCTCCATGGAAGTTGTATGCTTACGAAGAAACAACTGTATTTATGCCCGATCCTGTTCATACCAGTTCTGCATGTCATCTTATTTGTGTGATACACATATTACAGACACGGATGAAAGTCTCTGATTCCATAAAACCACGTGACTGTTTTAGGATGACCAGCTAAGTGTGACTCACTCCAACTACTACTGAATTAGGAATGTGTGAGACAAGTGTTCAAAACTGGGGCACAATTGTAAGTGCAAGGATTCTATACTTTGTAAGTATGTTTTTTCTCCTCTTTAAAGATAACTAAAATAGGGGCCAGCACTGTGGCCTACAGGGTTAAGCTGTTGCTTGCAGTGCTGGCATCCCATATGGGCTGCAGTTTGAGTCCTAACTGCTCCACTTCCAATCCAGCTCCCTGCTAATGCACCTGGAAAAGCAGTGGAAGACGGCCCAAGTACTTGGGCTCTGTACCCATGTGGGAAACCTGGAGGAAACTCTTGGCTCCTGACTTCAGCGTGGCCCAGCCCCAGCCACTATGACCATTTGGGGAGTGAGTTAGTAGATGGAGGATCTCTCTCTCTCTCTCTCTCCTTCTCTGTATCTGTGCCTTTCAAATAAATAAATAAAACATAATTAAAATATAAATACTTGTTATGATTTGTGAAGGAAAATGATATAGAACTCTTGTCAGCAGACTCATACTGAAAAGGCCTTCTCTCAATATTAATGATCAATGCCTAAATATATTAATGATCAATGCATAAATATAAATATATCAAAGTATGTGCCTTGATTTAAAATAAAATAAGGTATATGCATCTTTAAAGGATTGCCTGCTTATAAACTATTTAACTGTCCCAATCCCTTTGGGTAAACAAGATTCTACTACGTAAAAATGTCATCTTACAGTGACTGGAGTGCAAAATAACTTTGAAAGAAATATTCTCCCTGAAATTGGTAACAATACTCTGATTTAAAACTTCTTCCCTAACTACAAAATGATGTTTCTGTAAAGCCCTCATACACTGAACACCAGCATTGTCCTACACCCAGCATTTTCCCTTGTATTGTACAGTGGCCCATCTGCAAAGTGTAATTTTCCCAAGCCCAAAAGAAAATCACTTTACTCCCATAAGAGATACAATTCTTCCTTCCAATAAACTCAATTTGTTTGGACCTATATGTTTGGAAACTACTTTTTCTTAAAAGCATACTTTACCATACTAAAATGAACATATTAATCTTGGAAATCTTACAATTAATTGACAAAGCCCTTTTTCTTAAAGTAAAAATGCACCTTATAAATATCATGGGTTCAACGCAATATAGTGGTATGCTTCCCAAAACAAGATGCTTAGAGTACCCCAAAATCACAGCAACTTTCTAATGATATCTGAGCATGTTTGAGAGCAAAAGGACCTGAGGATGTATAAAACCATACAATCTGTTCAAATAACAACAAAAAACTGAATGATCATAGATAGCATGATTAAAGTCAGTCAAGAATATACACTGTGACACTGCACTGAAGATTCAATCTGCTCTGCTGGTCTATAAACATTACTTAATAAGCACCTACTATGTGCTAGGCACTATATGTAGTAAAAGTCTTGTTTTTGTTATTTTGAATCTTTGGGATGATGTCAGAAAACAAACACTGTTCATGCAGCAGATGTATACTGAGTACCTATTATGTGCCAGTTACCACTCTAAATACCAGAGATGACCATGAAACACAGCATCCCTGCTCTCATGGAGCCGATATTCTAGAAGCAAGAAGTAAGGAACTTGTCAATTTAATAGAACAAGCTATTCCGACAGTGCTAGGTGTTCCAGAGAGGAGGGGAGGGAGAGAGGAACTGGTTCAGATGCTGGCGAGGGAGCTGTCTCTGAGGAGCTGACATTTCAGCTGAGACCAGTGCAGCGAGGAGCCAGATGAGTAAGCTCTGAGGGATGAGCTCTAGGAAGGAGTGCAGACCTCTTCAGAGCGATGACAGTAAATGAAGAATGAGGGCCAGTGTGGTCAACAGGGATCAGAGCAGTGGGAGGCGTCACAGCTCTTAGCATGGAGAACCTGGTAGCACACGAAGGTGTGCTTAGACTTTGTTCCAAGTGGGGTGAAAAAAAACACACACACAAAAGGGTTTTAAGCCAAGGAATTACATGGCCTTTTTACAGGACTACTCTGGAGACTGTGAGGTGTAGGAAACCAGACAGCCAGGGAGATAGAAATGCTGTTACAGTAAAAAATAACTGATCTGGGGGGCGCTGGCTTTGTGGCGTAGGAGGTAAAGCCCCTGCTTGTGACGCCAGCATCCTCTATAGACACTGATTTGTGTCCCGGCTGCTCCACTTCCCATCCAGCTCTCTGCTATGGCCTGCGAAAGCAGCAGAGGATGGCTCAAGTGTTTGTGCACCTGCCACCCACATGGGAGACCTGGATGAAGCCCCTGGTTCCTGGCTTCAGCCTGGCCCAGTGCTGGCCATTGTGGTCATCTGGGAAGCGAACCAGCGGATAAAAGATCTTTCTGTCATTCCCTCTTTCTGTAACTCTTTCAAAATAAATAAATCTTTTTTTTTTTTTAAAGAAATAACTGGTTTGGAACAGCATAATAGTAGTGAGATGGATAGAAGTAGGTATATTCAGGTTATATTTTGGAGGTAGCTTCAAAGAACTTAGAGTTAGGTATGGGAAGTGGGGGAAAGGGAGCAATGGGTGAGGAATGCTGGCTTCCAGGCTTGAATACCTGGACTGGACAGTAGCACCACCTACTATCCGAAGACGGAAGGAAGAGTTACCTGTTAGACATCAAATTAGATAACTCAAGCGACCATCAGATATACACCTAGAGCTCAGAGGAGCAGTCAGAACTAGAGATACATTTGGGAGTCATGAATATACAGCCTGGATTTAAATCCAATACACTAAAGTCACTTTTGGAGACTTTATAAATTTATAAGAAAAAGGAAGTCTAGAGGTAAGTCCTAAGGTACCTGAATGAAAAGCAACAGCCAGTGAGGAGCCCCAGAGGCCAAGGGGATCAGGGGTGCCAAACAGAGTTACTAGAGGTTAGGTAAGAACAGAGGAGCAGCCATCCATCTGAAAGGTAACTCACCACCTTGACAAGAGAGTTTCAGGCGAGTGATGGGGATGAAGGAATGACTGGAGTGGCTGAAGGAAAGAATGAGGCTCAAGGACATGGACGGTGTCTGGATAAGCCGTCTGAAAACACTGCCATGAAGGGGAAGGGAGCAAGGAAATGGGGTGGCTTTGGTGGGGGTCTCTGGATTTTTCATTTTATCTTCTCAAGAGACAAAGAGACAAGTGGGGGTGGGGGCAGAGAGGGAAAGATTGAGACCCAGATCCCCCATCTGCTAGTTCATGTCTTCTGGTCCAATTATAGAGACAGTGGCACTGGTATCTCCAGAGGCTGACACAGTGAGAAGGAACAGTGCTAAACAGCAGGTTACACCAGATCCCTGGCTCCCTCTGCCAGGACCTCTCATGCTTTGAGCACAATGCAATGATGAACAGTAAATTCACTCCCGCATGCTTAGTCTCAGGAGTGGGAACTTACACGACGGCTCCACAGAGGCTCTTACCCACCTTGCTTTTTTTGAAGTCAAAGCTTTATTTTCATTCAGCTTTCTTCCACCACTTTCTGTATCAAAATATTTCAGTAAGTTATTTCTACATACTTAACATCACACCTACTAATTCAGTCAGAAGTTCATCCTTTGACCTCCCACCATTAGAATAGCCTATATCAAAATTTTTAAATTCTCGTGAAATAGCTAAGTTTTTGAGATGCTACTTAGAAAATATTAGGGAAACAATGACGTTTATGTGAGATGCAGTTTTCTTACTCAGACAGCAAGCAGTACTTTAGGGGTGAGTCTACATTTACTCCATCCACTATAAAATCTAGAAGTTACTACTTTGGTGTCACAGACTCTGAGTCCAGTTCAACTTTCGTTTCCTTCCTGGTGAAAACAGCTTAAGTGATTTTCTTTTTTTTATAAAGAAGATAAAAACTAGGTGAGGAGAGGAGAAATTAAATTCGGACTCTACACTGTGACACACTCATCACTTGAAAATATTTAGTAGGTTTGCTATCTCCTGCTTACTATGTTAGGAACCTGTGCATGTAACTGGGAGAACTAGAGAGAAGGTATTAAATCACCGGGGGACCCCGTATATTCTTTATAGACAAGATACTCTGAGAATACAACATCTCACTTTACAAATAAATGTAAAAATATATTATTCACAGGTGGTATTTAATTCAATTTCTGTTTTCCAAAAGAAAAAAAATACCTGTGGTATTTCTTGCACCATCCTTCCACGTATCCGGAGTGATAACAGTGCCAAGTTTCTTTTCACCTGTTGTGATAAAATAGTAAAAGGGGCATTATAACTTACTAGTTAATAAATACACCACATGGTGCCAAGGCTCCCAATGCCATCAACAGTCATATTACAGTGGGAGCCTGTTAATGCTGGGGTAGAGGCTAGTGAACTGATATTCAAGATTTTTTTTTTTAATTTTATTTTATTTGTTTGAAATGCAGGTTGGGGAGGTAGGTGGTTTCCCATTCACTGGTTGGGAGTGGAACTGGGACTCACATCCAAGGATGCAAAACCCAGACACCCTAATCTGGGATACAAACATCCCAAGTGACAGACTAACATAAATTACATGGGAGGCCAAAGTTAGAGATTTAAGAACCACACCTAAGAGAAGAGACATTTGGGCCGGCACATAATATAAAGATATTTAATTCAAACTTACTCAAATACACACACAAGTCCAAAAACCACTGCAAGTACAAGATGAAGCAGTTACAGACAGTCAGTGTCAAGTAAGATCATGCACTTTCTGAAGGGATGGACAGGTCAGCCTATGATGACACTGCACAACTCTGAATATACTGAAAACCAGTGAATTGTACACTTAAAGTGCATGAATTGCATGGCATGTGAATTACGTCTTAATGGTTATTTTCTTAAAGCTTAATGTAAGGCAACAATGGTATGTGGTGTAGTATCCAGAAGGAGGGCGGCATTAGTTGCACTCTGGCCCACATATGGAGCAGAGTTTAATTCTGTGTCACGCAGTAGTGAGTTATGACAGAGGACACACTAAGGACCTTTGTACCAGGCATTACCTATGTAATTTCATGTAATTCTCAAAAAAACCCAAGGCTTATGTTGCGTTCTCATTTTCAGATGGGAAATCTGGGAACACCACGCAGCTTTGCCATGGGTCTGTGTGTCCAGACTGTATCCATCTACCACGGGGATGCCCACAGGTCATGTTCATTAGACCATAATCAGGATTAAGAGGAGTGGAACTCTTGTCACAGAAGAGCCAGAGGGAGAGGCTTTGGGAACTTGACAGCTGCTTTTAAACACATAAACAGCTTGGTAGGTCCACAGGCTGTATTTTCTACAAATCTTAAGAGTTTGAATTAAAAACACTGGGTGGCAACCACAGAGGAAAATACTTTCCTCAAGCCAGCAATGCCTCCTTGCAGAGACTTCTTCGTAGGTCGTGGGGGTCTCCAGCCTCCCCCACCCAGATACTGTTTCTTTCATAGGATGGGATGCATTTAGAATAAGCAACGAAGCCATTTAGTAAGGCATGTCCTAAATAACCGAATGGGGCATACTTACAGCACTAAAAAAAAAGTATTCGTTGTTTATCTTAAATTAAAATTCAATTGGAGGTCTGGAATTGCTAGATCTCGCAACTCCACAAGCTACAGAAATGACTTTTAAGGTCCATTTTAAGCCTGACGGAGGCGGCCGAGAAGCCGTAACTGATGAGGCGAGAGCCAGAAGGCGGCGACGGCAATGGGCAAAAAGGTGCAGAACTAAGGCCATTCTGATGACAAAATATACGGGATTACACAGTCGATGAGGGGCAGGAAGGGTCACAGGGCAAGGGTGGGAGAACACAGGCTAGACTTAGAGACCTGTGGGAAAAGGAAAAACCAAGTTCCCAGGAGAGTCCGAGTAAGTTCTCCCAGCCTCCTCTCCCCACACAAGCGGCCCCTTAACTCACATTTTTCGCACACCATCTTTCCGCCGACGATTCGCCCTCCTCGCCCCAGAAGCAGCCGCTGCTTGAAAACATCAACACTACAGCCTGGGAAGAATTTTCCTTCCGGGCTACGTCAATCTACTTCCGGCCCCTAATCCTCCGCTCCCGCCAATCCTACGCCTGGAAAGCCGCGGGAGGCATGAACGCCAGCGGGTAGGCGGGGCTGCCTCGTTTGTCCGCCCATCCCCTTCTGCGATTGGCTGTGCGACCGTGGGTCTCCGCCCCGCGCGCTTGCGCCTGCGCGTGGGCTGGGGCAGCCCGTTGTGCCTTGATGGTGGGAGGCAGTAGTTCCCCTTCCCTTCGCGGGCGGGAGAGTTAGGTAAGCCCCGTTGGCTGCGTTCTCCTCTGGGAGGTGTGGAAGGCGCCTCCGCCAACTGCCCGAGTGGTCGCGAGCTTGCGCGCCCCCGCCGGCCCCCGGAGGGCCTCCTTCCGCGTGACCCAGGGGCTCCCCTGCTGGACCGCTCCTCTTTCTCAGGCGCGTTCCTGCCCGCGTCCCTCAGCTTTCGCCGGCTGACGGGCCGAGCCCCAGTGACCCGGTGTGGGGTGGGGCTGCGGATGAAGTCCGCGACCCGGGCGGCGGCTGCCCCGGGAGGGCTCGCCGGCGCCCTGCTGGCCGGCGTGGGCGGGCCGAGATCGCCGGCGCCGTGGCGGTGGCCCCGCGAAGGCGCGCCCGGCAGGTGTCCTCGTGGGCCCGCCGGGAAGGGCAGACGCTTCACCTGCCCGGGTTCCTTCGTTCTTTGAGCAGGCGCTGGTGTGTGGCTTCTGCTGCTGGGATTCCGAGGGTGGCCCAGAGGAAGTAAGGGGGATCTGTTGAGAGAATGGATTTCTGTTCCCCCTACCCGACCCGCAGGTAGCTGAGAGTCTGAGAAACTTTGTCCCTGCTTGTCGCCCGTTCTCTACCGAATCCCTCGTGTGTCCCTTTATGTCTGTAACGCTGGGGAGCTTGGAACAAGTCTCTTGACTTGTTTTTCTTGTTTAATCAGTAAACTACTTGCCTTTGATAAATGACCGCGGGAATCAAATAAGAGCTATTCGCCAGTGAGCTCCATCCTCTCCCCACCCACATATGCATTTATGTATTTTTTAGGGCTGTTTCTGTTTGGTGGAATATTCACAGTGTAACACGTTGACTATTTAATAAAGTCTGTACTCCACACCGCCAATACAATGCATAAGCTCTCAGGTAACTAAATACATGAGACAGTAAAAATTTTTCTGCCTCCATTCATGTTTTATTCTTGATTGGAATCTAGCACCTGTAACAGACCTAGTCATTTTGGAAATGCTAGAGTCTAGGGATCCCTTAGTTTAGGGTAATGCTCTTTGAGTTCTTTGGTTGCCTAGGCTGCCACTTGAATATTCCAGTGTGTCCTTGGCATTTACTAGATGTGAAACGCGATGTTAGATGAGGAGGGACACCAACATTTTAGCCAAAGTGTATTCGTGAGGTTTCTAGAAAGCATAGGTTGCATTTCCAACAGAGGCAGATCATTTAATCCATGCAGTGGATTTCACCTTTGATTTCAAAATGGGTGGCTTACCTGGTCCTAGTATGTGGCTCTTGGCAGAAACCAGCCACACATATTTAAGAAATGAGTAAAAGGGTCCCCTTTAGTCTCTGAAATGTTTGTACCGTATTAAAAAAATTAAAATGTTAAGCTTACATGTACATTTACATGTATATATCTTCTTGTGTTTTGAACCAATACAGTGCCCCCAGAAAACTGACTTTGTGTATGGCTGATTTTTAGAGATTGAAATGTTGAAAATGGGAAGAAGTCATGACATGTAATTTTTCTTTTCTTGTTTTTCATTATATAGTCACCCAAGGAAGCACCATGAAAAATACTGATATCAGGAGACTATTTTATGCCCATCTTTTATGCGTGCTTTCTGTTATCCTGAGCACCTTTGTTCCATCATTCTTTTTGGAAAGTTTCTCGATATTGGAGACCCACCTGACGTGGTTGGGCATCTGCTCTGTTTCTGTAACTGCTGTCAATCTAGTGTTATATTTAGTAGTGAAACCAAATGTATCCTCCAAGAGAAGTTCATCATCACATAAGGTAATGTTTATTTTTTTTAGAAGATTTCTTTATGTATTTGAAAGCCACAGTTCCAGAGAGGAGAGGCAGAGAGAAAGGTCTTTCACCCCTAGATGGTGGCAACAGCCAGTGCTGGGCCAGGCTGAAGCCGGGAGTTTCACCTGGGTCTCCCACATGGGCGGCAGGGGCCCAGATGTTTGCATCATCTTCTGTTGCTTTTCCCAGGCCATTAGCAGGGAGCCGGACAAGAAGTAGAGCAGCTGGGACTCGAACCAGCGCCTGTATGGGATGCTGGTGTCACAGGTAGCAGCTTTACATGCTGCACGACAGCACTACCCCAAAGCTTTTTATTTTATTTTTTTAAAGATTTATTTATTTATCTGAAAGTTAGAGTTACAGAAAGAGAGAGAGAGCTCTTCTATCTGCTAGTTCACTCTCCAAATGGCTGCAATGGCTAGGACTGGGCCAGGAGCCAGGCGCTTCAACTGGGTCTCCCATGTTGGTGACAGGGACCCAAGCACGTGGCCCATCCCCTGCTTCTTTCCCAGGTGCATTAGCAGTGAGCTGGATTGGAAGTGGAGCAGCTGGGACTGGAATCAGTGCCCATACGGAATGCTGGCATTGCAGGTGGTGGCTTTAACCCGCTGCGCCACAGCACCTGCCCCTGCTTGCCTGCACCTGCTTGCTTCTTCTTAACTAGTTTGGGCATGGAGCCGGTGTTTCTCTTAATGAAAGAATATATTAGTTGAGTTCTCTGTGAGTTATTTACAGTGAGTAAAGAGATCCTGATTTTTTTTCGAATTGGTAACCTATTACATGCTGGAAGGCTGCCCACAATGTTTGATAGATCCTTGCCATGCATTAACTGTGGATTTATAACTGATTGGGGAACCTAGTATTGTGAGCTTGTAGTCATTGTATGCCACTATTGAAGATACATACATGTAGCAGGCTATCTTTAATCCTTATCTTCTTTTTATTTATTTATTTATTTGACATGTAGAGTTATAGACAGTGAGAGAGACAGAGAGGAAGGTCTTCCTTCCATTGGTTCACCCCCCAAATGGCCGCTACGGCGGGCGCTGTGCCAGTCTGAAGCCAGGAGCCAGGTGCTTCCTCCTGGTCTCCCATGCAGGTGTAGGGTCCAAGCACTTGGGCCATTCTCCACTGCCTTCCCGGCCACAGCAGAGAGCTGGACTAGAAGAGGAGAACCAGGACTGGAACCTGGCACCTATATAGGATGCTGGCGCTGCAGGCAGAGGATTAACTAAGTGAGCCACGGTGCCACCCAATCCTTATCTTCTAAAACGTGGCAGTTTATTTTCATTTATTCTTGCATTTCTGAGAGACACTTAATGGATTTGTTAGTAATTTCATGATAGGCATCCATGGTAACTGTAGGTTTGAACATGGCCGATTTTCTGGAATAGTCATTGCAGTGTAACACTTGCCTCTTACTTAACAAAGTCCTTATTTAACATTATTTAACACTCTGTGTAAACTCTGTTAGGTAATTTAAAAAACTTTTACTGCTGTATGATAAGGAAGACTCAGTGTGTGTTTTCTAATTAGTTTCCTGAGCACTATGTGGTAGGCCCATGTGCTTATTTGTAGATGTTAGATCTTTTCTCAGTGAGTCAGAATAACTTGAACATGACTTGAAGATTTTTTTTTCTTTTTTGATGTAATTTTCCCAAGAGTCTTGTTTTAAAATGGGGGAAAATGGTAGCTACTTTCTGCAGGTATTTCAGGTCTCGTCACATAATGACTGTATTTGTGGAGTTTTCTGTATCCTAGCACTCTGTTATCAGCAAGTATTTCATAAATATTGATAGTACAGCTCAATACATACCACAGACACAGAAATCCTTTTTGACTTCAGTGCTGGCTGCTTGTGTGGAATATAGGGGAGTGTGCACATAGCCTTGTCCTCTTAGTTTTTTTTACAGTCTGTATCAAGGACTGTATACCTGACTGAGCCCAGGACGTGTGATCTGACTCAAAGATATCTAAATCCAAAGAACATTCAGCTGTTTCATACATCATGGGAACAAGTTGTATTTGTAGATAAAATTGAAGAACTTTTATCCTTTAGGCATTCTCTTGAATTTTCAAATTATTCATCTCTCTTTCAGGTAGCCAGGTTTTTGAAATGCTGTATCTACTTTCTTATGTCTTGTTTCTCCTTTCATGTAATTTTTGTTCTATATGGAGCACCGCTAATAGAGTAAGTTTGAATTTTCTAACAAATTTACATTTTAAAACACTAATTTATTAAACAATATGCTGACATTTTTGGCAGTTAGAGAAAAACTGATGTATTTAACAAATCAAGTAAGGACAGCATCATTGTCCTTTGTTAGCTCTGTTTATTCTTTTAAAAACAATGGAATAACTTAATTCATTAAATGCTTCTATTACCTAGCCTTCTATTACCCAGTTACGTATTGGGAAGAGGGAAAGTAGAAGAGAATCTATGTGATACCATACCAACACATGTATGGCCTGTAGATAATTTACTGTAATGATATGTGTCAATTAGTTAGGATTCACATTTCAGTTCTTGATTAATGTGATTCTGATGTTCCTGAAAAAAGTTTGCTTTAAAAGGAAAGTCAATAGATTTCTGTATTTATATACTTCATAAGTCAGTGTTCGTAATTTAAATGTGAAGTTTAGCCCAATAATTCTTTCAGAACTGTTCAATTTCAAACCAGTTACAACCAGATTCATAAATATTTCTCATAATGTTTATTATGGATTGGTAGACTTCAGTTTACCAGGGATCAACTATCATGGTGAAATGAGTGATGATAGAAACATTAAGACCTATGTGTACAAGTACAGTTACGTGTGCTTGTACATAGTTGTATGTAGACACAAACTGAGAGGTTATTTTCTAAACAGGGAAGGACAAACCTTGGTCATGGGGCTGGTAGTATCCGTCTAATCTTACAGTAGAATGAGTGTCTGGAATGATGGTTCTCAGAATGTATGGTCTTCAAACCAGCAGCATCAGCCTTTGATCAAAATGCACATTCTAAGGCCTCAATCAGAAACTCTGGAGATGGGACTCCCAAATCTTTATCTAATTCTCCAAGTGGTTCCAAATAAATTAAAGTTGAACCACTGGTTGTAAAGAAAGTTCTAGAGACTCTAATAAAGAGAACATTAATTTCTAGAAATGGACTTCCTTGCAGTGGAAGTCTCAGTACGAATCTTTGGGTTTATAACACTTATAAATCAATTGTTAAAATCCATATATATTTCTAGATTGCTTGTCAAAGCTCTCATTTTGCTAGAAAATTATTTATAGTCATCACTTTGTTAGAACTCGCCTTCCCTTCCAAAGTAGAATATAAAGAAATATTTTTATTTATGTAACTAAGATTACATAAGTATATGAATGTACATCTTCAGCACTTTGTAAAAAATTAATGAAGTTTTTTCTTCATAGGTTGGTGTTGGAAACATTTTTGTTCGCAGTTATTTTGTCTACCTTCACTACTGTACCTTGTTTATGTTTGTTGGGACCAAATCTCAAAGCATGGCTAAGAGTTTTCAGTAGAAATGGGTAAGTTTCTAATTTTATGTTTTAGTGATGTTTGAAATTAAAAAAAAACTAATGGAATGTTTTTCTGTTTGTGGCAGTTTGCTGATTTTCCCAAGAGCAGTTGGTTCTCAGGTACAGCGAGGGGGCCCCTGCAGCTAGGGACCGGGGTTAGCGAATAGATGGTTTGAAGAGGACCCAAGCAGGCAGAGCTACAGGTCCTTCCTCCACTGTATGAAGATCAGCTCTGCTTTTTCTGTATGGTAGAATTCTGTTTAGCCTCTTGTTTGGAAACAAATATTTCTGCTACCAAAAGAAAGCTTTGAAAACCATTGTTCTTCAACAGTTCGGCACTGTGATAAAATTGCCACAAATAAAATTGCTTACATATGTTTTATAATCTAGAAATGGAGCCCATAATCTAAAAATGTCTTGTGTAGCAACAGTTTCTTATTTAGCCTTTCTTTGTGGTAAGAAAACAGAGTGCTAGTTTTATAGGATTTCATTTCCTTAGCAGGCATGTATTTTTCCGGCATAGTTAAGTTAAAACCAGAAATGGTTGATCTCTAAGAAAATCATATTATGGAGTTGGCATAGTGGGTAAAGCTGCTGCCTGCAACACTGGCATCCCTTATGAGTGCCAGTCCAGCTCCAGCTCTCTGCTAATGGCCTGGGAAAAGCAGTGGACCATGTCCCAAGTGCCTGAGCTCCTGCCATCCATGTGGAAGACCTGGAGGAAGCCTGTGGCTTCTGACTTTAGCCTGATTCAGCCCTGACTTGTGAGGCCACTTTGTAGGTAAATCAGCAGATGGAAGATCTTTCTCTCTCTGTCTCTACCTCTTCCTCTCTTTCAAATAAATAAGTCTTAGAAAAAAAACAATTATTTGATGTCTGTGTTTTTCTTAAATAAATATTTATTTTATTTATTCGGAAGAGTGCCACAAAGGGAGAGATATCTTCCATCCACTGGTTTGCTCACCAAACAGACATAACAGCCAGGGCTGGGCCAGGCCAAAGCCAGGAGCTAGAACTCCATCCGGGTCTTCCACAGAGGCCCAAGTTCTTAGGCCATCTTCCATTGCTTTCCCAAAGGCATTAGTAGGGAGCTGGATCTGAAGCAGACCTGCTGGGGCTCCAACTAGCCCTCTGGTATGAGTTGTTTGCATGCAGGCAGCGGCTTAACCCATTGCACCATTAATGCCAGCCCTGATGTCCATAATTCTGTTCTGTTTATCCCCCATCAGCAGAAACTTCTGGAGCACTTACTCTGCACCATGCTATGTATGCTGAGGTCTTTGTGGATTCTGAAGTCTTAGTAAGATTTCTTTACCTGAGTAGTATGCATGTTCAAGGGTAAGGAAGGAAATGAGTGAAAAAATATGAGACTAAGATTGTGTAAACCCAATGGTGAGTGATGTAGGAACACAGAGGACTAGGGGACCAATTAGGAGTGGAGCTGAGGCCGGCACCGCGGCTCACTAGGCTAATCCTCCGCCTTGCGGCGCCGGCACACCGGGTTCTAGTCCCGGTCGGGGCGCCAGATTCTGTCCCGGTTGCCCCTCTTCCAGGCCAGCTCTCTGCTGTGGCCAGGGAGTGCAGTGGAGGATGGCCCAAGTCCTTGGGCCCTGCACCCCATGGGAGACCAGGAGAAGCACCTGGCTCCTGCCATCGGATCAGCGTGGTGCGCCGGCTGCAGCGCTCCGGCCACAGCAGCCATTGGAGGGTGAACCAACGGTGGTGGATTCCCTTTCTCTCTGTCTCTCTCTCTCACTGTCCACTCTGCCTGTCAAAAAAAAAAAAAAAAAAAAAAAGGAGTGGAGCTGAAGAGGGGGTGATCTGTGATAGACGTGGATCAGGAGTGTAGGAGCTGGTGACACCAAGAAGAGAGGGAAAGACCTTGTATGCCAGGGGGAACAGGCGAGAGCATAGACACGGAAATGACAGTGGTGTTTTTGTGTCCTTGGGAAAGGCACAGCCCCTGGAGAGCAGAAGATGCATGCTGGATAGCAGGCTTCATAAATAACAGAATTCATCTTTTGAGATTAATGTTGTTTTTTAAAAGATTTATTTATTTGAAAGTCAGTCACACAGAGAAGGAGAGGCAGGGAGAAAGGGGGGGCGGTTTCCATCTACTGGTTCACTCCCCATTTGGCTGCAACAGCCAGAGCTGCACTGATCCTAAGTCAGGAGCCTGGAGCTTTTTCCAGGTCTTCCACGTGGGTACAGGGGCCCTAAGATTTGGCCTAAGATTTGGGTCATCTTCTGCTTTCCCAGGCTGCAGCAGAGAACTGGATTGGAAGTAGAGCAGCTGGGTCTCAAATCGGTGGCCCTATGGGATGTTGGCGCTGCAGGCAGCAGCTTTACCCACTATACCACAGCGCAGGCCCCAATTTTATTATTTTTTTAAGAAGCATCTCCTGTTCATAAAGTCTCTGGAAAACAAGACCAGTGTGATGGCCAAAAGCTTTTTTCCATATTGTTAGCATAGTATGCCAGATGGAATTAATTTATTTTAGCATTTAGTTAGAAATGATTAAACAGTGAAAACTGGTTGAAATATTTTTTATTGGGATTGATGGTTTCTCCAGCTTTGAATTCTGTATCTAATAATGATAATGGTTTATTTGAGAGAGATATTACCTGATTTTACAGTTAGTTCTGCTATAATGTGGTATATATGTTCCCAGAAATCAACACATGATGCAAAATTGGGCAGTAAAAACCACAGAGCCCATAGGAAAGGTAGGCTTGGGGCATTGTGCTCAAAAGCCTCAACACTCACACCTAAAGAGAAGGCAGGAATGTATTAAAAATGGTAGCGTGGTTTTACACATGTTAGATGGCTAAGAAACACACATTGTAGTAACTATGACCCTTTCCCTGGAAAAGATCTGCAGTTTGCGTTTGGAAGCAGGAGGTGCCTCTTACTGAGTAACAAGTTGCATATCCCTTATACAGAATGCCTGAGACCAAGGTGTTTCAGTTATTGGATTTTAGAGTGTTGTGTGTGTGTAATGAGGAATGGGATCCAAATTTTAACATGGAGCTTGTTTGTATGTCATATACACCTTCCATTTATAGCCTGGATGTAATGCGGTATTTTTAATAATTTTATGCATGAAAAAGAATTTCATGGTGTAGAATTTCCTACTGTGGCATCATGTTGATTCTAAAAAGGTTTCAGATTTTGGAGCATTTGAAATTTTGGATATTTGGAATAGAGAAGCTCAGCCTGTATTATTATTAAGTGGTGAAGGGTGGATGTTTGAGATTTGACCAAAAGTTAACACCACATGTGGATGAGTGTGGCTCATGACACCAGTGATAAATGGAGGTAGCTGGGAGAAGAATTGTTTTCTTTTTAAAAATGTATTGAGCTGTCATTCACATTACCTGTTTAAAGTGTACACTTTAATGGTTTTTAGTCTATTCAAAGATATAGGCAACCATCACCAGAATCCCTTTTAGAAAGTTTTATCAGCTTGGAAAGAAACAGTGTGTCCTTTAGTTAGGACTTCTCTCTGGCAGTACTGCTGTCCTGCATGGCTGGCAGAGCTTGGAGGGACACTTGTGTTTTGTGTGTTCTTGTGCTGTGTGGTGTGGCTGGGTGTAGTGGTCTGCGTTTACACTGACTGTGTCTCACAGAATCATTCCCCAGTACAGCAATCCAGCTACTACAGATTTGAATCTTTAAAACAAACATTGTAGAAGGCCTGACTGTATAAATTCCTGGTTGTTGTTGTTGTTGTTGTTGTTGTTGTTGTTGTTTTGACAGGCAGAGTGGACAGTGAGAGAGAGACAGAGAGAAAGGTCTTCCTTTTCCATTGGTTCACCCCTCAATGGCCTCTGCGGCCGGTGTACTGCGCCGATCCCAAGCCAGGAGCCAGGTGCTTCTCCTGGTCTCCCATGCGGGTGCAGGGCCCAAGCACTTGGGCCATCCTCCACTGCCTTCCCAGGCCACAGCAGAGAGCTGGCCTAGAAGAGGGGCAATCCGGCGCCCTGACTGGGACTAGAACCCGGTGTGCCAGCGCCGCAGGCGGAGGATTAGCCTATTGAGCCGCGGCGCTGGCCAAATTCCTGGTATTTTTAAATTGAAAAATATTTAATGTTAAAACTCAAGGGAAACAAACTATCCTTAGTTTCTCAGAGTAATTTATCATAAAATTAATATGTATACTTTTTAAGACTTATTTATTTATTTGAGAGGCAGGGTTACAGACAAGAGGTTCACTCACCAAATGGCTGCAAAGGTCTGAGCTGGGTTGATCAGAAGTCAGGAGTCAGGAGCTTCTTTCGGGTCTCCCATGTGCGTGTAGGGGCCCAAACACTTGGGCCATCTTCTACTGCTTTCTGAGGCCATAGCAGAGAGCTGGATAGAAGCGGAGCAGCCAGGATTTGAACTGGTGCCCATATGGGACACCTAGACTGCAGGCAGAGGCTTAACCTAGTACGCCACAGCGCTGGCCCCTTTCTGGACCTGTTTTAACCCTATTTCTACTTTTAGGCTGAACTGTATTTTGCTTTCTGCTAGGTAAAAAAAAAAAAAAAAAAAAAAATTATCCTACAGTTTGCCTTTTGAATCTTGGTGAATAAATCCTCTGATTTTTTTTTTTTTCATTCCTGTCAGCACTTTATCCCTTCTCAGAAAGAACAAAAGTAAAACTAAAAATTGTAGGAAAGGAGATAACCATTTTTTAGCAAGAGATAGAAAAGAGATTTGTAAGTTTGATAATAGATAGCATTAAGGGTTTGGGGAAGCAGAAGCCAGCAGTGGTGTTGAAACTCTACAAAGTGTCACTTGGTTGAGGCACTCTGAAGGGCAGTTAGTGATACGGTTGGCTCTCCACATATGTGAACTCCACAGGTACTCAACCAACCACGGATTTGAAAATACTTTTTACAAAATTGCATCTGTGTTGAACAGGTACAGATTTTTTTTTCCTTATATTTCTTAAATGGTACAGTGTAACAAATGTTTGCAGTGTAAAGGGTATCATAAGTCATCTAAAGATGATTCACAGTAT